CCAATCTTACAGCGTAACATCTGATCAACTAACTCATTGAGTTTGATTTTTTCTTGCGTTTGTTTATTATTCCTTTCCTCTGCTCCCGTCCATAAATTTATTATATGACTATTTCTCTTAAGATTTTTGCATTCAGGCTTTCTTGTTTTTCTTTACTATTCACCCTACCTTCTTGGTTATCGGTTGTTTCCGCACGTTTTCTGTTAGTGGCTTGATGAATTCCTCTGTCGATAATCAAGCCGATGCTCATCCTTTGTATGCCGTAGACACGAGACGAGCGAAGGATGGAGTGTGGCTGGTTAAAGTTCCAAATTATTTGGCAGACTTGTGGTTAAATTCTAATTCTGATGGACCAGTCGGCAAGGTCGTAATATCTACGTCGTCTGACGCAGTAGGGAAAGGCGACCAGAAGCCAGAATCCCAAGTACGACTCGTTACCGACGATGCTCTTATGTCGGAGGCTGGTGAAGCAATTAGCCTTGTGCCGAAGGTATTTGCGTGCTTTAACTCTGGATAATTTTCTATCTATCAAATTACAGTGTATAAAAATGTATGCACTGCAATTCAGCCAGTGTATACTATAAATATAACATATTCTATTGGTATATGCCAATAGGTATACATATGTATACCTACCAATAATTAGGCTTAAGTGTTCTCTCCCGCTCATATATGGAGGTACTGTCCTATTGCCTTTGCAGTCGAAATGCCTTGGTTTCTTTGCTACTTCAAAGACTTTCATGGACCTCGAAGCCGAACTCTACGGACGTGTAATAGGGACAAAGCACGTCGAGCAAAATGTGGCAAACAGTGCCAAACGAGACAATAGGGGGATCAGTTTATCTAGCCGATTGTCTTTCGGAAAGACCGAAGTTCAGTCAGTGCAGTCTGCTTGCTAGCCATTTTTGCTACTTATCCCGCATGCACGCCTGCTGAAAAGGCCTTCAGGTGCGAAAATATTTCTTCTTTGTTTCGTGAGTAGGTCGTCACAAACCAACAGAAGCGATTTTGCCAGAAATTCCGATCGTCAAAGTGCAGCCTGGCCTCTTCAAAATGGACAAACTGCACATTATGCTTACGAATATACGAGGTTCTTTTTACCGAAAAGCAAAGCTTCACTTTGCGGACCCTGCTAGTTCAATGCGAATGTTGTCTGACTTAAAAACTAGTGCCACGTGCTATTTTAACTGAATGTCCTTATATACTGCGTGTTGCAGTCGTTCGTCTATCAATCCAAACCTTCAGTTATACCCTCTGAGCATGTGTTGCTAAAGGGCTATAGTTATTCTTCTCGGTATCCTTGCCAGCGTCACAGTAATGTGTACACTATATTTTGGCCGCCAATTATATCTACAAAAAGAATATTCGTTGATGAGCTGTATACAGTAGTCAGACACGTCGCCATGTTTGTCCGTTGGGTTTGTCATTTGCAGGTTTTCGCAATACAAGTACGCAGCCAGACAACTTCTGCACAATACAAGTGCTCTCCCCGTGTAGCTTGCAATACCTTTCGGAATCAGCTCAAATACTTATTCGTCTGTACACGATGAATTAAGTAGCCGCTATATTCGCGCACCTGTGGAAAATGTTGCACTGATCGTGCCGTTATGACTGCGTGCTGTTGGAAAGACACTGTCTATGATTAAAATGTTAGCCGTCTAAATGATCTACCACTGTCACAGGTTCCCCTCTTCCATTAGCTTCAGGCGATGTTTGCCTTGCGTTACGAATGCTGTTGTCTGTCTAATTTCATAAGCGGTGCGTCTTCTCTTAAAGCCAACCGGTTCTTACGTACTAATGAATGCGTCTCCCTGATATTAGACATTTTCGTTATGCAAGTCCTCTTGGTGCCACTTTTATCCATATGCAGTCCTCAAATTGGCACTTTAGGCCAACATCCGGTTTACAATGCCAAGGTATTAAGTTGTATGTTTGTTAATCAGTTTGTAGCTAACCCTATGACGTTACCATTTTTTCTCTTCTTTTGTGTGCTGTAGACATATTTATCCAATATGCGTACCCAGTTTCTTGGTAATGTATTAGGTATATGCTTTTAGCAGCTTACTGTCGTCCAAGGTGTAAAATCAAAGATTAGTCTGAACTCATACCAGCTCGGATTTTCGCTACTGTGTCGGATCCTCGTTTGTTGATGGCAATACTAAAAATTGGCCTGCAAACTATTTTACAAGGCCAGAAGGTGAAAAAAGGCCTTAATTATTCATTTCTTGTCTTGACCATCGGGTGCTGCTGTCTCCCAATTTCACTCTGTCTTGATGCACCTAGGAGCATCAGTTCCTCATTCAGACTACCCCTTCACTGGCCGCTGGAAACCGAGGACGACCCGGTGACGCTAAACGTTCTGCGTCTATGTCCGGCCAGGAGCTGGTCATTCTCTGTGAAGAGGACGTTCCTGTCTCCAGTGGAAGCAGTCCTGTGAATCCTTCTCGGGTTTCAAGACGCTACTCTCTGTTCGGCCGAGTCAACAGCCGAGCCGAGTGTCGACCACCGCAGAACTCCAAATACATGATGCTGAAAGCCCAACAGGTATCCACTTTCCCATTGATTTAGAAGTAGCATTTTCTTCTAACATATCGAACGTAAACGTAAAAAAGTGCTTATTTGGCCATTTTTAGTTCATAATTTAGTATTACAGATTTTAATTATTTATACTGTTCGTATGGTGAATCTTTTCACAAAAAACCTTCGCGTCCACGAAATGTCTTATTAACAACTGAAAGTTGTCTTTACAGTAAATGATTTACGTGCATTTCATGTCGCATTTCCCATTGGTGTCGAGATTTGTTCGGGGAAGATTCCTCGCCAGGTGTTTAACGCAATAATATACTCAGTTTGAGTCGTTATTACGCATTCTGGTTTGTGCATATCAGGTTTTAGTCCAACATAGACTACGAAAGCATGTAGTTTCATAATTCAGTAGAGTAGGAAAAGTTTTTCTGCATCAACGATTTAGTTTAAAATCATTTAATTAAGCAGATATTCAAATAAAGATCCTTCTGATTTGTGACTAGACAATTTTAGACAGGTTTCTACCTGCTATCCTACGTAGACTGCTGTGAATTCAACTGCCCTGAGAAGTGAAGCGTCGTTTTCAACAGGTATTCCAGAGGGTGGAAGTAAGTTAAAGTAGGTCATCAAGCGTTTCTTCCTCAAATTATTAAAACATGTTTCATGGGGTCCAAATCCGTCCCTTCTTGTGCTTTTGGTCTAATTAGAGGATAGACATCGCTCCTGAAGTGGTGATTGAATCCCATGTGTGTGTGAAGTCTTTGTACACAGGTCACCCTTCGGCTGTCTAATGCATTTTCCTTTTCCGTATTAGCTTACCTTTCGATCGCTTTTTCTTATTTACAGTGTAAAGCTAGGAACAAGGCTAGACACGAGGTGTGTATTCTGGATGCGCCTGTCCGGAATTACCGACCTGTTGCTAATCATGAATTCAATGTAAGTTTTCTGGATAAAATTCAGCCGCCTTGGTCTGTATTTGCAAGCTAAGTTCTGTTTCGCTATCTAAATTACAACATTGACTATACCCCGCTAACCTTTGATTGGGCATTACCTATGCTCCAGAATTCGCGCCGTAGTTCATCAGGCTATCAGCTTGGATTGACCTCACAAATTTGAATTTTTAATGTTGTTTCCCCATATAGCATCGTGTAAACATTCAGTTTTTATTGCAACTTTATGCATCAGGATAAATTTTGTTATATATTATACTCAAATCCCTTGCAAATTAAAAGGACGATGCTGGAGTTTGCAGACAAGTTATACTTTTCGCAAGCATCCTTGCTGCAGTTGATCCCCTCTACGTTTTAATATTTCAGATTGAATACGAGCAGCGAAAGAAGTTGGAAGGCAAGAATATACGCAGAGAGCGGGATGATGTCCTGCAAGACCTCTTTAAAGCATTTGAACGGCATCAGTACTATGCCGTCAAGGACCTTATGCTTCTCACTAAGCAACCCATGGTACGTGCCTCTGTGACTACTTTTTCT